AAAATATTCACGAAAATTAGAGAATTGAAGACATCATCACAAAATGAACAAATCTGAGAGAGATCCACATGTAGTACCTATATATGTAATATCAAAGCAATCGGACTTGTGGTTTTTAACAAGAAGTCGAAAATATCACTTTTTACTAAAAACTACAAAAATATTCACCAAAATTAGAGAATTGAAGATATCATCACAAAATGAACAAATCTGAGAGAGGTCCACATGTAGTACCCTATATATGTAGTATTAAAGCAATTGGACTTGCGGTTTTTAACAAGAAGTCGAAAATATCACTTTTTACCAAAAATGATAAAAATATTCACCAAAATTAGAGAATTAAAGATATCATTACAAAATGAACAATTCTGAGAGAGGTCCACATACAATAACAAAAGTAATAAAAAGATAAAATAAGTTTATAGAATTATAGCACGTACAATACATCAGATTTTAATCAGATTGATAGTTTTCCCAATTCAGACAGGTTTACTGCATATCTGGATAAAATCATTGTAAAAGTTCTAATAACATCCTACCTCATGTTTGAAATGAAAAACTTGATTTTCCTGTAGAATCCATTGATTCACCTGATGATCCATTGATCTCCACCAGTTTTCTGTATCACGTCTGTCATTATAGGAACCAGTATAGTGAGTCTTCATACTTGTCATCACAAAATATCTCATGTTATACTCCTCCTGAAAGTTGAACATTATATATTACCAAGGATTCATAAACTGGAGGTGTAGGCAATGAATTTTGAAGTCACACGAGTTGCGAGATAAGAAAATCGCAAGACAAAGTACATTGAGAAATACAAGAAATGTCCGTAATCGTATCAGAATGTATCCTTGCCTAACGTACCATTAGTTGGCAACAACAGATATCTCAACACAAAGTACATTTTGAGAAATACAAATGGAAATGACCATATCCAAGAACTGTCCGTATCTGTATTCGTGCCTAATGTAGTTGATAAACCATTAAAACTTACCCCCCCAGATTTCCCCCATTTCTACCATATGGCTTTATTTTATGCTGTTGATCACAAAATCTAGATAAAAAGGTCACCAAACTAATGTCTTACCTTGTATAAATCAGGACATATTCTGTCTTCCACAGATATTGGCTTAATACCAAAACGTTCCACATACATTCCCAGACAACAGTTTCTAACTTGTTCTATATGGCTTTTCTCCTCATCACTCATATTCTGGTAGAGCCGGATGTTGTTCTTAATAGTATCTGTTTGAAAATCTTTGAATAACTTAGCACACTCAATTAGTTGTGATGTAAAGGATTCTGGAATGTCACACTTGGAAAACATAGCTTCGTTTTGTCTTGTACTACCTTCAGAGAAAACATAGCAAAACATTGAAGCCTAGAATGTGAATTTATGTTAAAAGAACTGATTATATATATATATATATATATATATATATATATATATATATATATATATATATATATATATATATTCAATCTGAAGTAATTCTACGCATGTTTCAAACTTTAATTTCTAATCTATATTGGAAAATTGTTCTGGGGTTTATTAATTTCAACAAAAAACAGTATTCAACCGCAGTAAGATCATTACTTTAATTATATTTACAACACACAAACATTATAATGATAAAGCTCAAATATCTTACCAAACTTGTTCAAGAATACCGGAAAATATTTCTGCAAAGACAGCTTGCCATTGTAGTTGAGACAAACAACATACACTTCTGAATTACCAGACTTGCTAGTGGCTGGTTTGAACACGTGTACCTGCCAAAAAAAAAAATAATTTGACAGTTACAGAAATGAGAATAACTGAAGAAAGCACAAACTTATTTATTTTCTCTAGTGGGATGAAATTATTCATGTTAACTGGTATAAATAATGACTTCAGATAATTTGTTATTAGTTTGACAATTTTATCCTGACTATTCCCCAGCATGCTGGTCAAATGTTGTGGGGGAAAGGGTGGTTTGATCTTCTCAGCTATGACACATCATGTAAACCAGAACTCAACCTTGTTTATTCTTCAATAACTTACATACGGATGCTAACTCGTAAACAACTGAAACGAAACTGATAAAACGAGTACCAAAAACATACAACGTTGCTATAGATCGCGTTGAGTAATAATTTTTAGGGTGGGAGGAGTTCTCATTTACCGATTACAAATATGGTGTTTACTCTTAACGCTCAAAACAAATATTGGCCATATTAAAGCTGGGCGTGCTAGTTTCTTATAGCATTACATGCAAAAATTGAAATACAGAAAAAACATATGGTTATGAATAAATATTGATAAATCAAATGAATCTCCCCACAAATGTCAAGTTATATTTTTGTAAAATGATAGAGAAACCTGATCGACTCGCACTGGATATTCCATTTAACATTTTTTTTAGTTACAAGGTCATTTATAATGTCTCCAATCATACTAATAAACAGAAGTACATTGTGTATATTAAAAATATAGTGAAAAGTTTTGACAAATTTAGTCATTGTTGTGCTTTGTCATTTGCATGCATCGATATATATTCACATTTTGATTTAGGAATGTTCATTCTCAGTTCAAATCAGAATTCTAAAACATTTTGGATTAGGACCTATAAACAGAATCCCAAACTTTGTTATGAAATTTTGGAAAAATAATATTTCTGATGTATGTTGTATGTTATTTTACTGAATAGGGAGGAAAATCTTTAAGCAGATTTTGAACAAAAAGAAATAATTAATATGCCCATTGCTGGGAAGACAGTACACAATTCTATAATGATATTTGTAGTCATTGACAAGTTAGTCAAACAATTCCTTATCATTGTCATAGAGTCCAGACAAAAGTTTTTTGTTCTGTAATACTGTTATTTAACATTTCAATTTCTTTTTTGTGTTTTTTTTCTCTAATTCTAACATTTTTTCCAATTTTTAATGTAATGCCACATTTAATTTGTAATTTATACGGTTCCTATTTATTTACTCAAATAATGAACCCCTGATTCAAAAGGGTAGCAAAAAATAAATCAAAAAAAAAAACTTTGCACTTATAAAAGAGATGAGTCTATTGTTCACAATTCATTTTAATATGTTGTGTTACCATGACAATATTGTAGTCATTGTGGTAAGGCAATGACACATTATTGAATAAACATACCTTATCAAAGACACAATTTAACAAATACATCATTGCGACAGAACTGTGCTCGTACAACGTGAACATCTTGATGACAAGTGTGCCACCATCACTCAGACAATACAATGATGTAATTATTTCACAATAGTGCAACTGGTAAACTAACATCTCTTGCTCCGCTGGGTCACATTGACAATCGATGCTTCCATCTGCTGTTATCTGTTTTTCAATGGAACAGACATATATTGTTTATAGTTGCATAACTGCATATAGTGAAAATTATGTCACTGACAAAAATTATTTATTGAGAGGAAACAATACTTCAATATCAAGATCAAGTACATTCAAGTATGAAAGGCAACGCGAGACAATACATTGCATTACAGGATTAATTATCAAGTATTAAATAAATCAAAGCAAACACGGAACAAGGTAGAACAATAGCATCCACTCCCCTCTCCCTTTCCATGAGTGTGTAGAATTACAGTAATGCAGGCATAGAATGTATTTCTATGGGTTCTACACAAGCTGCTGTAGAATGCCGGTCGAAAAGCCGGTGAAAACAGTTCAAGTCGAGAAAACAGAACAAACTCAACTTTCAAGTGATCCTGAGCAGTCAAATTTATACATGTTGCACATGGAGGGGTAATTTTGTATACTGTTCAGTTGATTTCCAACAAGTATACCAAAGTACAGTTTTCTGAAAATTTTCGACCTTTGTTTTCACCATGATGGTTGCCAGACAGTGAAAATGTCCGGGTGTAGAACGTTGATTATCCGGACTGTTAGGGGGACATGCTTTTTGTTCGGTTATGCAAACAGTTCGAATATGCGATCTTGTGTGGGCGTGCTCAAATTTACAGGCTCACGTACACACAAATTCTAACGCACATGACTGTAATGAAATCAAACAATAGTACATGTAGAGTACGTCATTAAAAACATTTTATTTAATCAGTAATACATTGTAATAAAAATGTTGCATGCTGGAATGTTAAAAAATGTTTCAAAATGTCCGTAAAATGTAGCGATAATAAAGTTCCTTTGCTTCTTTCTTGGGAAAACCAAGTCTCGGAATCAAGTGAAGACGGATTTCTTCAAATGATCATCATAGGCTGTTTTCATTATCTTTCATTTCAGTCCTGCATTGAATCCATTTTACTGGAAAAATCCAGCAGCTTTTGTTTTGCCTTGATATCGGATATCGCTGTATACACAATATTGCCAAATGATTTCATGCTGCTCATCTCTGTATTCTCGCAGGCACCTAACTTATTGCCCCCTCCCCCAAATGTGATACTTCATGCAAACATGTATGGTATAGGCATTCAACAATACAGGCAAGAATACCACTTTAAGTGAAAATAATACAAGGTTATTACGAGAATACCTTAAAGTATGCACGAAGACAGTACAGCCGGGAGTATCCACCGACATGCAGCGGAGGTCGAAGCGACAGCGTACTGTCTGAGTACTGTCTTGTTTTTATCATCAGAGGACACTTATGAGTGTAATCATTCCATATTTGGAATTCGCATTTCCCAATATGGTATGATGAAAATACCCAGTAAAATACCGCAAAATCACGACACGCTGTAACTTATGGCATTACAGTGACAGATGTATAATAATATTATTTAAAGCATCTTAGCTTACCAGGTGCACAGTTCCCAATTTTTCAGTAATTTTTGCGGCAAGTCCTTTCATAAGACGTACATCCATTATATCACCAGTGTTGTCTTCGCCAAAGTACCAATTGTTGATAGTTTGATAAATAAACCTGTCATCAGGAATCATGTTACTCAGTGAATGGTCTTCATAGTATGGGTTCAGAGTCGTTGCCAACCAGTTCCATTCAGTGTCAGGGTTATTGGTTTTAATGTAATGGTTAAGACTGGTTACAAACGCCCCTGGGGCCTCACATAGATGGACAGTGTTAAGTTTGTTATCACGTATAATATCAAACGTGGCCAGAATCTCATGGAACTTGCACCAAGCCTGGGTACACAACTCAAGATTGAATTCAGATCTGATCTGTGGGACAACTCTACCTGCTTTGTTGGTGAACATCGTGTGGGAGTGCCACTTCTCTATATCTTTGTCGCTCAGTTCAGATTTTGTTAAGTTCAGTTCACATTTCAATTGTTGAAGAACATCGTAAATCTCGTCCTCATCACTGTAAATTTTTTCGACACCTGGTAAACTCCATCTTTGTTCTTCGGGAGAGTCAAATGTGAAACGCTTGTTGAACATAGCACTTGCTTCATTGACAATGCCTGGATCATATGTGTCGGAACGCTTGCTCTTCCCCATCTGGCTTCTGAAGTTCCTGGACCGTTTTCTTTTTCTTCCCATCTTCAAATATTCATCTAATATCTTTCAAACAGTTTTTCTTCGATGTCGCCTCTAAAAATTGAAACATTTGGAACTTTATTGATAGTCATAAATGTTTTTCAGGAAGAAATATATTATGACTATCATAGCAGAAATGAATGACCAATAACACCATAGGATGTAGAATTAATTCTACGAGATAATATGGTACACAAAATAGACACCTCATCCAATATGGCACAATGGGAGGGGGGGGTCGTTCTTATGAGATGCGATCAATTGTGTCGTGTGATTTTATTTCAAGTGACAACAGGTTTTGAAAAGGCAGTCTGATACATTTCGAGCGAGCAGTCAAGAAATGTAATTTTGCGCCTTTGCAAACATACAAGTATAGATAAAGGTAAAACTTGTATATACAATAATCAAATATTAAAAGAGTTAAGTAAATTTATTTACCATTGCTTTATTATGAGGGAAGACAGTTAAAAAAAAGGATTACCAGCTGCCTCATAACAAAGAAACACTATTTTCTTTTTTTACTATGCATGTTTTTTTTATATGTTATCTTCTTTTTTCTAATTGTTATGTATTTTATTAGTTTTAGTTACCGGTATATTTTGTTTTGTCATTATTTTTATATACATTACCTTTATTGTATTTATCAATACCCAATTGTGGATACAATTACAATAAAGTTATTATTACAATTTACAGTTTTGAGAATGATGACTTGCTTTCAAGTGATGCCAATTTCAGCAGAGTAATTCATGGTTTTAAATATTATTAACCAGTGGTGTTGAAAGTGGCTCAATTTATTGTAGCTAAGTGTAAATGAAATTCACCACTGGCAACTTGCAAAGAGTTAGAAGAGGCCTACCATTTCAGTGAGCACAGATTGTTTCAAGGACTATTCGACAAAGTTCATTCATAGAAACATGTATAAAAATCAGCTTCAATGACAAGACAAAATTTTTCATATACTGTAAAATACTTTATTTTCGCTTGGAATTAATTTTCGCCATTTTCGCTGAAGGAGTGATTCACTGAAAATAAAATCTAGCGAATATACTTTTTTTCCTATATTTTACATTCAACTCGCCAAAACTCAGTGAAAATAAATTCCACACAAAATACCCAAATAATCATTTCAGCAAAAATTAATTCCAGTGAAAATAAATTATTTCACAGTTATGTCGTTTTATTCCAAATGTTTGTTTCAGTCATTTTCAGACTGTGGCAAAAGAGCTGTTACGAGTGGCAGCATTATGAAACAAACTTAGCACATTCCATTTGCCTCTATGTTTATTTTATTCTCTAGTAAATCGATTGGCACAAAGAAGTAAAGATAGATGATTGAAATGAATAAAAAAAATGCTCCATGTAATCTGTTACATAATTCATCCCACTAACATTTGTATATTAAAATATGTGGGCCAGAGCAAATTGTAGACGGCCCATTGCTCTGATGTTGCACGCCACCAACGGTAAAATAATGTCAATGCATGGACGTACTTACACCATGGTCACTGTAACTTTAACAATATCAACGCAGATAACGTAATATATTTAACACGTAAAGTTGAGGGTAGGACAATATTGAAACTTGTTAGAATAATTTGAATGTTCATGTGTTCATTTTCATTGTAAGTTTCTCAAAAAGTTCGCTGTGGTCGCGGGTCTGGTAAAAAATACTCTATGTCGACACGTGCATATTTGAAACTCAAAACGCAATGTTTTAGTTGGAACATAGCTAACACTACGTATACGTTTAGAGTTGTAAAGGGTTAGTTTTACAGGTGGCCACAACAACCTAAACAAAATATGCGACGAAAACAACGAAAACACGCTTACCAACAGCGAGTAGCCATTTTCTGACAAGTGACTTGTGGGGGAAATCGGACCCCCTAGGCTGATAACAAACAGACAGTTACATTTGGGTTTTTTAGACGAGCACCAGGGGGCGCATATCAAACGACACAACTGATAGATGCCATGATTATGCTTTGAAAGACGGTTTAGACAGATTTGAGTTAATATCAATCAGATTATGGAGGTAAAATATACCTTTAAAAATAAACCATGATCAGACTAATTTCTTAGTGTCTTCAACGATTAATACAATAATATTCTTCATATCAGAAGGGATTCCTAGGGTAAATTGAGTTATGAAAAAAAAGTTTAAATCAAAACTAGGAGAAATTACAAGCAATGAACATCAAATACCTTAATTAAATTTCATTTTTATTTTTGTATCTGCTTCTATTTTTTTTATCTGCATAAAAACGTTCAGGAACATGTACTGGTATTTGAAAATAAATCAATAAATACATGATGTGAAGGGCAACCTCATGTTTTTGTCATTCTCGCCATAGAGGGCAGTATTAATAAAGTATACTGTAAAAGCATTTATTTTCGCCGACATTTAATTTCACTATTTTGATCTTGTCACTGTGTTTTATTTTCATGAATTTGTCAAGGAAAGAATGAGTACAAGTTCATGTAAATTTAATTTTGCAGATTTACTTATCAGCGAAAATAGCGAAATTAAAACCTTGTGAATAATTAATGCATTTACAGTATGTGATTCATTAAGATAGGATCTTTTGATTGTAATTACACAATTAAATGCATTCCATGAACATGTAGGTATATTATGTGATGTATGTGACGCATATAAATTAAATTAATATTACCGGTACTGACGTTTACCAACAAATAGTGTACAATCATTTCTGGTTCAACATGCTTATGCTGCTTTATAAATTGATTCAAAACTGATGTGGTTAAATATTAAAATTAGCTAATTAACATGTGAAAATAAATTATAAATTAGTATTAGACAATCAACTCTATAACAGTATGATGCATGTGGAAGTTCAAACCTAATTTCAGCAAATTGGTTTTCATCAACAATCATAACATTCTGAAAGTAGTTTATTAGTACATGTATATATAATAATCTAATAAATAGGTTTGTACTAAAATCTAATCAAGTTTGGAGTTCATCACATTCTATCTAAGCAGGCTATCAAAAGTGCATGATTGATGGAATCATCTTACAAAAACATTGGTGCCTAATTTGAATCGATAAAATAGTAAATATACTTGTTCTGTCTGAACTGTGTCTATACACTAACAAATACTATACTATAAGTTATACTATTTACCAACTGGAGCTTTGATACATGCAGTAGTAATGAAATGGCATGGATTGATGAACTATGACTGCATAGAGTTCAAATATTTTGTTACCATGGAGACTACCAATCACATGTTTGACATATTCCATCCAGTACATTTTTTTTCTTTCAAAATGTGGATGCAACTTTTTGTTCATTACATATTTTTGTTTTAATAACTTTGAACTGAACTGATATGATTTTCTACTGGCTTCAGATTTTCATCAAATGTTTCGTACTCTAAGCTTTATAAGAAGTGCTTACAATGATTATCTGACATCTTGTTTTCTGTGGGAGATACATTACCAATGATAGTTATTACAAGATAAATGATGTACTTCATTGAACATGTATAGCAATGCATATTCCCACAGAGACCAGTGACCAGTGTATCACCCACCACTAATCAGTCCAGTAGAAACAGTCAATATTTGTTATCATAATTTGACTACTACTTTCTTAATTTTTGCATGATATTTTCATGCACAAAGACATGATTTTATACCAATAAATAGGTGATCTAGTTTGGTACAGTTTGGAATAGAATTAGTAAAGTTATAGTGTACACAAAAACATTTAGTAATAATGACGACATTTTTCCCTTAATAAACCTTTCCCTTTCATCTTTGATTATACGGCCAAGGTAAAAATAGAACATGTGTGTGATGCCCGTGGTGCTTTATATGACCTACAGAATCTGTCATTTCAAGAACTAGAGTTGCCAAACAGAATGTAGGACTGCGCCCTCTGGTGTTCATTTCATCAACATTGTCAGACTAAAATAACATTGTCTTCAAGACTCCTTAGTCAGTTTAAAATAATGGTAAACTATTTGGTGATGACACACTCAGCAAGGCAGTTAAAAACATGGTGGAACCCTGGTCGATAACTCAAATGAGGTCTTCTGTATAACTCTTAAAAGGTCACACATCCTGGTAATGCATTGTCTTGTTTCCCTATAACAGAAATGATTTCTAATAATTGAAAACTTATCATTGAATTTGCACCACAAAAAGTATCAGGATGTGTGAAACCTGAAAGTACCAGGATGTGTGACCCAAGAAAGTACCAGGATGTGTGACCCCAGAAAGTACCAGGATGTGTGACCCCAGAAAGTACCAGGATGTGTGACCCCAGAAAGTACCAGGATGTGAGACCCCAGAAAGTACCAGGATGTGTGACTTTTCGGGTATCAGGCAGATTAAAATATGCTTTAACTCATAAAAATTATGTACTTTATTTCACTTCTTCAAGATGATACATATTATGTTATTATTTTCATTCATTATATTCCAGCAAATATAAATAATATAAAAATTAATATTTTGTGAATTTACACATTCCAAGTGATGTATGACATATGGCACACGTATGGATTCAAAACTACCAAGCTTATAATGAACAGATGACAATATGATTCTGGAACATCTGGAATCTGGTGATGACATCAATCCGGTTCCAATCTAGTGTTGACATCAATCCTGTTCTAATCTGGTGTTGACATCAATCCTGTTCCAATCTGGTGTTGACATCAATCCTGTTCCAATCTGGTGTTGACATAAATCCTGTTCCAATCAGGTGTTGACATCAATCCTGTTCCAATCTGGTGTTGACATCAATCCTGTTCCAATCTGGTGTTGACATCAATTCTATTCCAATCTAGTGTTGACATCAATCCTGTTCCAGAGTCTTGACATCAATTCCCTGGCACCCAAATGTATAAGGCCACAAAGCCGAGGGAAATACGACAGAACCATCCTGAGTAAGAAAGTAAATACAGTTAAACAGAAACTAGCAATAACTTTTGAATGCACATTATGTATTATGTACCAAATTATTATTGACCAATTGTACAAGGTCACTTGATTGGCTCTTTGGAGTAAACGATAATTTTAGTTTCATAATTTAATTTAACTGGTTTTTTTAACTATCATTAAAATCTGATTCAACTGATTTGTTGATTGTGATCATAATATGATTTAACTGACATGTTGAGAATAAAAATGAAATATACATGTAAGGGAATCAATCAATTTGTGGACATATTTCACCTTTTGTTGGCAGTTTTCTAGCAAAATAGCTATAACAGATGGAACACACATTGCTGTACCAAACACCTAGAGTTAAGAAGAAGAAACCATAATGTACAAAACTAAATAAGTGACAGATAATAAAGAAGAAAGAGAATGTTCTACTCAATTAGGAATGTTGAATAGTGTTTGATCAAAGTCTCAGCAGTGCATTAATGTAGGACTTTTCACTGCTAGAAATGTTCATAATTTTATGATATTTGTGAAGACAAAATTCAGTAAATATATAAATTATCTAATATTGAACTCACCGTGTGACAATAATGTCGTTTACGACTGATTACAGCAGACTCTGATGGATTGCATGGATATCTAAATTTTAATCTTCGACTTATAAAATCAGTGCAGTTATAAACAGATGCTACCTAATAAATAAAAAAAAAATACCATTCACAGTTACCGGTATTTGAAAAAAACATATACTATATACTTTAAAATACTTTATTTTAGCTGGAATTAATTTTAGCTGAAAAGTCTTTTCAGGTGTTTTGTATGGAATTTATTTTCACTGATTTTTGACGAGTTGAATGTAAAATATAGCAAAAAAGGTATATTACATATATATCTAACACAGTAATTTTACTAAAATAAAATTAAAACATAACTAACCTCTTGATACGTGTTCTGTGATGGTAACCACATCTGAT